CACACAAACACAGAGAGAGAGAGAGAGAGAGAGAGAGAGAGAGAGAGAGAGAGAGAGAGAGAAAGAGAGAGAGATACACATAAAGAAAAAATCTGTTTTAGAGCTCTTGCCTAAAATAACCAAGGTCCTAGGTTTGGTCTCAATACCTGCCTGGACCCCACAGACACAGAAATTATATTTATATTATACTATAGCCTATTAAATATATAAAAGATTTAAGGCTAAAATTCCAAACATCTGTTTTGTTTTGTTTTTTTCTTGGCAGGGGAGTGTGCTGGAGGTTGAGTCCAGGTCCCATATGCTAACCTTGTGAATGCCGTGGAGCCACACCCCAGCGTACACACTCCTTAATTAAAAAAAAAATACATGACATGCCAGGCACATGCCTTTAATACCAGCACTCAAGAGGCAAAGGTAGGCAGATCTCTCCAAGATTGAGGCCAGCCTGGTCTACGTCATGGGTTTCAGGACAGTCTGGGGTCTATAATGAGACCCTGACTAAAACAAAGCGAAAACCAAAACCAAAGCAAACTTCCAAAGGTGGGTGGAGTGGCACATGCCTAAAATCTCAGCCCTTGGAGGTTCAGGCAGGAGTAATGCTGTGAGGTTTTGGTCGGCCTGGACTTCCTAACAAGATTCTGTCTCAGCACTAACCAAACAACCAAACAGCTCAACCACCTTTGCCTATCCGGGGACCCAGGAAGGTCCCTCCCAGGTGTGTATATCCTAGTGATGGACACGTGTGGCGGCCTCCTCGCTGCAGGCTCCTTTCCTTGTTGTCCAATCCTGGAGTTTGAACCCAGGGCCTTAGGCATGCTAAGCAATTTTCCTACAATTGAGCCGCAGCCCCATCCCCTCAGGATTTAAAAATAGTGTGTGAGTGTGTATGTGTGTGTGTATGTGTGTGTGTGTATATGTGTGTGAGTGTGTATATATGTGTGTGTATATGTGAGTGTGTAGATGTGTGGGTGTGGGTGTGTATATGTGTGGGTGTGTATATGTGAGTGTGTATGTGTGTGTGCGTGTGTGTGTGTGGGTGTGTATGTGTGTGAGTGTATATATGTGTGTGTGTTTGTGTGTGAGTGTGTGGGTGTGTATATATGTGTGTGTGTGAGTGAGTGTGTATATGTATGAGTGTGTGTGTATGTGTGTGTGGGTGTGTGTATGTGTGTATGTATATATATGTGTGTGTTTGTGTGAGTGAGTGTGTATGTGTGTGAGTGTGTATATATGTATGTGTTTGTGTGTGTGAGTGTGTATATGTGTGTGTGTGTATATATGTGTGTGTGGGTGTGTGTATGTGTGTGTGAGTGAGTGTGTATGTGTGTGTGAGTGAATGTGTATGCGTGTGTGAGTGTGTATATATGTGTGTGTTTGTGTGTGTGAGTGTATATGTGTGTGTGAGTGTGTATATGTATGTGTGTGTGTGTGTATATATATGTGTGTGTTTGTGTGTATGTGTGTGAGTGAGTGTGTATATGTGTGTGTATATATATATGTGTGTTTGTGTGTGTGAGTGAGTGTGTATATGTGAGTGTGTATGTGTGTGAGTGAGTGAGTGTGTATGTGTGTGAGTGTATATGTGAGTGTGTGTGTATGTGTGTGTGAGTGTGTATGTGTGTGTGAGTGTGTATTTGTGTGTGAGTGTGTATATGTGAGTGTGTGTATATGTGTGGGTGTGTATGTGTGTGTGAGTGAGTGAGTGAGTGTGTATGTGTATGTATATATATATATGTGTGTGTTTGTGTGTGTGAGTGAGTGTGTATATGTGTGTGAGTGTGTATGTGTGTGTGAGTGTGTATATGTGTGAGTGTGTATATGTGTGTGAGTGTGTATGTGTGTGTGAGTGTGTATATGTGTATGTGTGAGTGAGTGAGTGTGTATGTGTGTGTGAGTGTGTATATGTGAGTGTGTATATATGTGTGTGTGAGTGTGTATGTGTGTGTGTGAGTGTGTATATGTGTGTGGGACATGCGTAGTCTGTTCTGTCCGTCCACCTTGTGGGTCCTGGTGATGGATGCAGATCATCAGGCTGGGTGCCAAGAGCGTCACCGTCTGCACCGTGCTGTGCTGTCACTCTGGCCTGTAGAGGGCTCTGAGAGAGCGAAGGACCACGAATGGAAGCTGAGCCAGGTGGGACAGGGCAGGAAGTCCAGCATTTGGAGCATTGAGGACAACAGGGCTGGAGGTAGAGATGGGAGCTGCCACAGGCCAGTGTGGCCACGCTTTATAATCTAACGGGCACAGCTTGCCTGAAGACCGGGGAAACCAAGCAGCCAGCCACTAGCTCTTACCTCTGCCTCAGACTGAAAGGGCATCCTGTCTCCACAAATCCTCAGACTGAATCCACTGCCTGTCTCCACCAGAACTCAGACTCCCCAAACCTCAGTCTCCTCCCATCCTGTGTTCCTCTCCAGTGCTGGGATTCAAGGCATGGGATCCCAAGTGCTGAGATCACCTTGGTGTGAGCTCTGTTTCTCTTTTGGACTGGATCATTTTCCTGTAGCTCCAGGTAGCCTTGAACTAACAGAGATTCTGCTGCTTCTCTGCTGGCAGTAAGGGTGTGTGCCACCGCTGTCTGAACTCTGCGGCTAACCCTGCCTTCCGATCTTCAGGCAAGCTTTATTAGATCATAAATAAAATAACCAGAGCCAAGGGAATGAGGCACCAGGATTAGGGTCGGGAGCCAGTGGTCAGCTTGTCTGTCTTCCCCGACCTCTCCTCCCTACTCCTCACACCTGAGACCTGGCAGAGGACTCTGGGTGTTTCCAACTGAACTGAGAATCCCTGTCGGTGACAGTCGTTTCCTGGTGGCAGTGACCTTGTGCTCCCTGGTGACCTTGAGGGTATCTGTATCATAGAATTTGCAGCTCTATGCTCACAGAGTGGGAGGTTTGGGCCACAGAGATGGCTCAATGGGAAGAGGTGCTTGCTGCCAAGCCCGGTGACCTGCTTTGATCCTTGGGCCCCACATGGTGGAGGGAGAGAACTTTCCCCGACACTTGACACTTGGCACACACGTGCCTCCCTCTTCCCAAATAAAATGTAAAACCTTCTAAAGCAAAAGAAAGCAGAGACATTTATTCACGTAGAGTTCCAAGTGGGAATCTGCTCACTCAAGCTGTTCAGAGGACAGCGCTGCTTGCCCTGTTTGCACCCACACCCCCTCACTCTGCACAGCTGGGGGCCACAGAGCAAGCAAGCCCTGCAGTTACCTGACTGCTGCTGTGTCCTGAAGCCAGGGTCCCATACACATCCGCCCTAAGGACACCAGAGTGAACTGGAGGGGGGGGGGGGGGGGTTGTCCTCCCAGAAGCCCTGGCTTCCTCTGGCTTGAGGACCCGAACAGAATACATGTGCACACACCCTGGGGCTGGGTTTGCCCAGCGTCTGGCAGCAAGATTTTACAGAGACCTGAGGTCCTGGGAGAACCCCAGCTGCACCATGCCTCAATTGGAAGACTGGCAAGTGGCTTGACCTCTGCTGGCCTTCACAGAATGGGGACAGTGAACACCCAGGCCTCACCTGGTGGCTGTTAGGGTGTGAACACATGCCTCCTCTAACCTGGAGGGTAGCAAGCTCCCCTGCTGTCAGCAACCCAGGGGCAACTCAGCCCTGGCCACCAGGGACATCAGTGAAATGGGGGAAACACACCCACCTAGACACTCTCACAGATGCTCCTGGTTGTCCCTGCCTCATCTTGGCCTCTGCTTCTCCCCTTTCCACTGTTGGAACCCAGAGCTCAGGCTGTCCTGGGGACAGAGTTCCCGGCCTCCATCCCCACCCCAAGCAGAAGCCTGCTCCTCCAGGACACTTAGCAGCCAGCATTGTGGTGGAGGAAGGGTCTCCAAGACTCTGGGCACCCCGTATGAGGGTGTAGTGACTCCCAGACCACACGTTCCTCCTCTTCCCAGGGTCACCCTGAAGGGCTCTCCTCACCAGGGCATGGCTGCCTCAGTAGCTGGACAACAGTGACATTGGTGAGGACGACGTCACGTTTCGACATGGCCTAAGGTCTCATGGCCTGGCTGCCTTGGGCCCCTCCGAGATGGTATTGAGGTATGAAGCTCCCCCAGGGCTTGGTTAGTGTCTCCAGAGCCTGTGGTGATGTCACATTGCCCAGTGACATCACAGAGGGAGGGTGTGCAGGCTGGAGACCTTAGCCCACCAGAGGCCTTTGAGAATCCCACACTGAGTATTTCAAGGCCACCCTCTGGCATCTAGAGTGGAACTGCTGGATTCACACAGATGTTCATGGTTGCTGTCCCCCTTCCTCCCTCCCCTGGTCCACCTGCTCTGTGCTTGCCTAGATCTCTGAGGAGTTTTCCGAGTTCTCTTGGTGTCTGGAAAGGCCTAGAAAACCCCTCCCAAGTCTCCCCTTAGCTGCCTGGGTTCCCAGGGGCTTAAGAGTGGCTCTTCTCACCCAGGCGGAGGAGATACTGTAAGATCCAGCAGTCTGGGAGGACAGCAATGAAACAGTCTCTCCCCTGCATGGCTGGTCCGCTGCACTCCTGAATCACATCAGGCACAGTTGCCTGCCTGCCCAGGAAGTCAACATTCTCATGGATGGGGGGAGGGGCTCGTGTAAGCCCCAAGCCCTAGCCCAGGAGCTGCAGACAGGGATAGGAAGAGTCAGTTTTCCTCAGGAGTGTAGACCAAGCACTACTGAGTGACCCCACACCCACGAATCTATTAGCATTACAAATCAGTGTGGGCTTAAAATTGGCGGTGCACACCTTTAGTCCCAGCACTCGGGAGGCAGAGGCAGGCGGATCTCTGTGAGCTTGAGACCAGCCTGGTCTACAGAGTGAGTTCCAGGACAGACTCCAAAGCAATACAAAGAGCCCCTGTCTCGAAAAACCAAACCAAACCAAAACAAGACAACCCCCCCCCAAAAAAAAACTTAAAAACCAAAAACAACAAAAATATAGATACACAGACAGGTAGGTAGGTATATAGACAGACAGACAGACAGACAGACAGACAGACAGACAGGAAGATATTGGGCTGCAAGATGTCCCGGCTGTTAAGAGCACTTGCTGCTCTTAAAGCTGATGTGGCTTCAGTTCCCAGCACCCACGCGGTGGTTTACAACCATCCATGACTCCCATTCCCGGAGGAATCCACCGCCCTTTTCTGACGTTTTAAGACACTACACCCATCTGATGCCTGTACTTATATGCAGGCAAAACACTCCTATGTAGATGGACTTTTTTTCGGGAGCTACCAGCTCACAAAAAAAATGCGGCAGAGACATTATTAATTATAAAAGCTCTGCCTTAGCTTAGGGTTGTTCCTTTTCTTTTTTGGGGGCGGGGGGTGGGTTGAGACGGTTTCTCTGTGTAGCTTTGGAGCCTATCCTGGCACTCGCTCTGGAGACCAGGCTGGCCTTGAACTCACAGAGATCCGCCTGCCTCTGCCTCCTGAGTGCTGGGACTAAAGGCGTGCGCCACCTCCACCCGGCTCGGCTTGTGTCTAACTAGCTCTTATAACTTACATTAACCATATTTTAAAATCTGCATTCTTCCTTACACTCATCCCCATTATGCCCATTCTGGTCCCACATCGGGCTCTCGACTCCTCCTTTCTTCTCCCCAGAGTGCTATCTGTCTAGAAGTCTGGTGTTGGGTAGTGCAATGATGGGGGACAAACCCCCAAAGTCTATTAAGCCAGAAGCAAGCTTTATTCCAGGAAAAGAAAAGAGGAAGCAAAAATAAAGATCTCCCAGGGCACAAAAACTTACCAGCTATAGACGTGACCACAGTCTAGGTTTGAGGTCAGGCTTAAAGTCACATTACATTTTTTAAGTTTTACAGCTTTTGTTTACAGGATGTTAGGATGTTAACTCAAGATGTTTGCGAAAGCCTGTGGCTGACAGCTGCTTTTTGCTGTCCCTGAAAGAACACAAGGCAGAGTAGAGTCACGTAGGAGGACATTAAAAAATTAAGGGAATACAACACAGAGGGTCCCCTAGAGGCAATAGTTAGAAGCCAACCTCTGTCTGCTGTACCTGCCTAGCTGGGAAGCTGGGAGGCAGGAGACCATTGTTAGAAGTTTACCTCTATACACAGTGGCTGCCAGGATGTCTGCTCTTAAGGCAGAAAGTAGTTGTTAAATGACTCCCAGCTTTTTTTTTGTTTCTCAAAATATGTTTGGTGGCTTACAATTTTGTATTTCTATATTCCTAGACCCTTCATTGGCCATTTATTAAATCAATCACAGTGACACATCTTCACATAGTGTAAAGGAATATTCCATAACACACACACACACACACACACACACACACACACACACACACGCACGCACGCACGCACGCACGCACGCACGCACACACATATATAATAGAAATAACTTTTAAAAATGTTCATGAAATTGGTAGAGGGTAGGAGATAGAGGGGATATGGGGGGAGGAGTTAGTAGGTGGGGATGGATGGACTCAGACGTGCACACACACTCAGACACACACACGTGCTGCCAGGTACGGTAGCATGCGTCTGCAGTCATAAAGGCTTGTGGACCAGCTAGCCTGACCCCTTCCCCCACAAGGTCACCTACACACTCTGAAAGGCCGGGGCTTTGTCTACTCTGTGTCCCATTGACTTGCAAGTGTGTGTGACACTTCTTTTTTTTTATTTTATGTGTGTTCACACATGTGGTGGCCAGAGGGCAGCATTTGGGAGTAGCCTCTCTCTTTGTACCGTGTGGGTGTTGGCGATTGAATTCCAAACTCATCAGGCCTGGTAGCAAGTGTCCTAGCCTAGTGAATAACTACTTAACTTAACTACTTAAGTTATTCACTCCATAAATAAAGCACATTTGCCTTGTAGATGTTTTTAATTGAGGGGAAGAAGATTTCCGTTACTTCTTTATTTTAAACTTTATAATTTGCAACTTTTAAAAGTTTTACATAAAAATTCTCCATCAATACTATGGGCTCAGTTTTAGGCCACAGCAATGACGCAAATAATGCTGCCACATCCATTGCAGAGTTTTTTCCTCCGGGGTTCTGATTCTGGCTGGTAGGGCTGGGGAGGTGACTCAGTGGCCTTTGCTGTTCCAGCTGACAACACCAGTTCCGAGCCCAGTCCTCCTGTTGGCCCCTCTTTTGGCCCCCACAAGTACCTGCACTCACATGGACAAACACTCACTCTCACACATAAATAAATAAAATTTAAAATATATTTGTAAATATTTAAACAAATAAATTATAAATGTTAATAAAATCGACTAAAAAATAACATTTTTTTTTTAAGTTTTGGCTTGAGGTTGAGGTTCAGTGACAGAACAATTACCTAACATGGCTCATAAGTCACCTGTTCTATAAAATGTGTGACCTATCCGATGTTCACACCTTGGTTTTTATTCCTGGATGGGTGTAGGGGAATGCTGGAGATCGAATCCAGGTTCTCAAACAGGCTAAGCATGTGCTCTTCCGTGGACCCACGCCCCAGCCCACACATACCTTGTGCTATGACTGTTGACAACTGCTCCGGACCATCTGTGCTGCTGAAGAAATGGAGCCAGACCACGTGTGGACAGAAGCTTGGCACAGAGGTTCAATCTGTCAAAAATGCCATGTCAACAATCTCAGCTCTTGGGAGGCTGATGCAGGAGGATTTCTGTGAATTTGAGGCTGACCTGGACTACATAGGGAAACCCTGTATCAAAGCAAACAAAGAAAGGGCTGGAGAGCTGGCTCACTGGCTAAGAGTGCTTAATGCTCTTCCAAAGGACCTCGGTTCGATTCCTAGCACCCACATAGCAGCTCACAATCTTCTGTAACTCGAGTCCCAGAGGATCTGATGCCCTCTTGTGGCCTCCACAGGGCCCAGGCACACACAGACATATCTTTAGGCAAAGCACCCATACATGTAAAATAAAAAATAAAATAAAATATTAAAGCAACCAAACCCATCCCTGTAATATCTAGGAAGCACGGGTAAGGTGGGTGTGTCTGTATGTGACTGATGAACACATCTGGTCTCCCATTTCCTCAGTTTCTTTTATTTTCCCATCCTTGCTGGAGTCTGCCCAGGGCCTTGGGCAGGCTAGGTAAGTTTTCTTCCACTGAGCCACACCCCCAGCCCCTCAGGTTATTTTCTTTTCTTTATTCTCACCCCTACACCTCTGTGGAGGTCAGAGGATAATTTGTGGGAGTCTGTCCTCTCCTTCCAACAGTGGGCTCCAGAGACTGAACTCAGCTCCCCAGGCTTCACAGCAACCGCCTGTTACCAGCTGAGCCACCCCTCAGCTCTCATGTATTTTCTGCCCCAGTCACGAAGCAATCCCTAAGCCACGACTTCTGACAGCAGAGTATTCTTTTCCTTGTAGCTTTCCTGTGTCTAGCACCTACAGCTGTCCTGTTCCTTGTCACCCTCACTAGCTGTGTTTTCTGGAGATGCTGGATCCACACACAGGTGTCCCTCTGGATCTTGGGCACCGCCTGACACAAACAGGGCCTTCTCTCTCTTCTCCTTCCTTAAAAACAATATTTGTTTTATGTATCTGAGAGTTCTGCCTGTGTGCATTCCCAGTGTCCTTGAAAACCAGAAGAGGGCGTCTAATGCCCTCGACCTGGAATTACAGATGGTTGTGAGCCACCTTGTGGGTGCTGGGAACTGAGCTCAGGTTCTCTGCAAGAGTAGTCAGCGCTCTTAGCCACTGAGCCACCTCTCCGGGCCCTATCTTGTTCATTTCTTGACACAAGACCCCACTCTGTAGTTGAAGTGTGCCTCGAAGTTGCTGGGATCCTCTTGCCTTAGACTGCTAGGGGCTGGGATTACATTTGCGTGCCACCATGCCCAGTTTACAAAGCAGGCTTTTGCAAGTGTCTAGGAAAGAACATGGGGAACATGTCCCCTTGAGCTCCAGACCTTGCTTGTACTTTAGTGATTCACTGCCAGGCACCTTTACCTGCAGGGCCAGCTGACACGCAGCTGTGACCAAGGTGGGTGTGTGGGGTTTTGCCACAGGAAGGAGTCACCATCCGAGAGAGAAGGGTGGATGGCCCAAAACTCATACAATGACATAACCTCTTCCTTCCCCAAGTCCCCATGGCAGCTTTCCATGGGCTGCACACAGAGGTCCTGTCCCACAAAACCAAAGCCAGAACCATATCAAGAACCAGTCATGGGACACAGTCAGTAAGGCCATCTCCTGCTTGGATGGCCCTGGAAAAGTAAAATAAAATAAATTGGAGGGAGACAGGCATGGATCTGTAATTGCAGCTGAGGCAGCAGGATCATAGGGTCAAGGCCTGTCTGGGCTATAGAGTTGAGTTCAAGGCAACTTAATCTCAAAATAAAAATGTTTTAAAAGGTCTGGGTGTTGTGGTTCATGCCTTTACCCTTAGCCTTTGGAAGGCAGATCCCTGGGAGTTTGGGGCCAGCCTGGTCTACATAGTGAGTTGCAGGTCAGCCAGAACTACAAAGTGAGACCCTGTCTCAAAAACTAAGCATGAATAAAATAAAATGCAAATGTGTGTAGGGTACATATAACCTTGTGGCAAACACTTGCCTAGGATGTGTGAGAAAGCACCGTGTGTGGTGAGAGCCATCCAGATGCTACCCGGCAGTTTTCCTTGGTATGGTGGCACACACATGTCACCTCAGACCCTGTGAGGCTAAGGTGGGCAGATTAAGAGTTCTGTGGCAGCCTGAGCTACATACAGAAATCCTGTCTCATAAAACCAAAGCCAGAACCACATCAAAACAACCCCCTACCAAATGTGGGCACGGTGGTTCCTAATTATACTACTAGTACTCGGGATGCCGTGAGTTTGAGGTCAGCCTGGACGACAGTAGGAGGCCCTAGCTTAAACAAACAACAAAAAAAGGATGCATGACTCCCCAGGATCCGATGTTAGAAGTAGCAAATCTGATTAATAATGAGAGGGGAAAGAGTCATGAACTCCTCTCGCAACGAGCTGCCGCAGATCAGGGTTATGGGCCAATCTGCCCTTTGCTAGCGTGGTATCTTCTTTTCTAACTGTGGCAGACCCTGGCCTGACATCCCTGGACCAGCAAATACCACGTGGGAACACACACTACATGCTTCTTTGGGCCACTGTGACGCCAAGTGTGAGATTCCCAAATCCAACTTCTTCCACTGGCATCAAAAAACCAGCACAAGTCTATTGCTGCCGGCAGCAGTTGAGGAGGGAGATGGGGACAGAAAGCTGAGAAGAAGGGCTGCGGAGGGAGAGAAGGATGGACAAGAAAATATTGAGTGGTGGTGTGTGCCTGTAATCCCAGCGCTCAGCCACGGCGTTAGGACCATCAAGAATTCCAGGCCATCCAGCCTCTGACACATAATGAGTTCCAGGCCATTCTGGGCTACACGAGACCCTATCACAACAGAACATAGAAAAGATAGGATACCTTTTAGAATGGGAAGGTGAACCTATCTATCTCGGGGTGGACCAGGATTCTGGTACCCCCCCCCACCACACCCTGGCTCACTTCTCGGCCTGGCCTTTGACTCTCCATCATTTAGTGATGCTCAGACTGGAGTGCCACACCCAGGATTGCCTAGAGCTCTGCCTTTGTCACTGGAGTGTGAAACTGGGAAACAGATCCACTCTGCAGGGTGGCCCAATTAGCCACCCTCTGCTGTCAGAGCTGGGGAAGGCAGAGAGGCTCCAGGATCCCTGGTCCTGGGATGTTTGGTTCTGGGTGTGGCTACTGGTTCATTAAGGGGACCACCTCGTGTCCTGGTTTGAAGTTGAAAACACGTGCTGATTCTCAGCCACACCTGGGCACCCACACACATAACTCCAACACCTCCACGGGTGCACACCCTATGCACTCCTCCCTGGCTGACCTTCCCACCATTACCCCTCGCTCAGTCTCACCGTTGGCATCAAAACCTAAACATCTTCACCCAACTGTTCCCCACCCACTGGCTCTCGTTTGCCTCCCTCTAAACTATCCCCCAGGTAGATATATACTGTGGTTGAGCCACTACCTGTTCCTGCTCTTCCTTCTCTAAGGCTGGGCTCCCACCCCAGCCCCCCCCCC